ATAGAGGAGCCTCCGATAGATGAAAAGTGCGAATTTCTTGTCAAAGGTAAGAGAGGAAAAGTAAAGTGGAAAGAGTTATTTATTTTTTACGACGATGACTAGAAAAATACCGAGGTAGAAAGTATAAAAAAAAGAGTTTCGAGCTTCAACGTCTATCAAAAACTTAATTGTAACCGTCGTAAATTGTAATACCGCAAACTTCCAAAACCGCAACGTCAACCGACCCAGTAACTGCACATGCACTGGCCACATGTTGATTGATTAATGCGTCAGGTTACCTGATACATAGTAAGTACCAAGGTATCTCCTAGGTGTTTTACCGGGTTGGTCGGGGCAGGAACCCCCCGGTACATCCCGACATCTGGGCGAAAGGGTATCCCGTTATTACATAATAATATTGTACCTACGTACCTTCATATGTCCTTGTCCAGATGGCCCATGCGTTCAGCTTTTATGTAAATAGACCCACAAAATAAGTTATGTAAGCAAAGCTCCTGCACGCGTTTCCATTTGGGCGCCTGATTTCCTTCTTCCAACTTAGCGCTAGAGTTTAACTACCCTGTCAGCCTGTTCAACGAAGCTCCCACTCAATAATTCAATCTTCGTTTTCGCCTCAACATCCATCAAACTTTACTCATCATCATCATCGCATTCATTCATTCATCCATCCGTCTATCCATAAGCAACGCCGTCGGTAGGCGTTCCATTTCTCGTGGAGGTCTGCATCATCTGCCCACTTCATCATTCTTAATTTTCGGTCAACCAATTAGTTTGTCGCCTGTCGCCTTACCTATTCTTTCGACTAGACCCAGACAGTAGCTTGTCAACATGGTGAGCTCATCTTCTCCGCCACGTACACATCTGCGCCAATGCTAATATATCTTACTAGGGTCAAAATCAGTCGGGAATGGGCAGCGGTGGCCAGGATGGAAGGGATGAGAAGGACAAGAAGGTATGTCGATGGATATCTTGATAGTTTTGAACTGCATCTATTTGAGCTCTTTGCTTCAATGAATCCTAATTTCTAATTTTATTGTGTAAACAGAAGGAGAAGCCTAAGTACGAACCACCTCCTCGTCCGACCACCCGCATTGGACGCAAGAAGAGAAAGGCTGCCGGTACTTCTGCCGCTGCCAAGCTTCCTGCCGTCTACCCGACGAGTCGATGCAAACTTCGCCTACTACGAATGCAACGCATTCATGACCATTTGCTGCTCGAGGAGGAATTTGTCGAGAATCAGGAGCGACTAAGAAAAGCGAAGGCCGTCAAAGATAACACCGGCCCCGCTCCGGATCTCGACGCCCCCGACCGGATGGCTGACGAACGTGGCCGCGTTGACGACATGCGCGGTAGCCCGATGGGTGTCGGCACCCTCGAAGAGATGATAGATGATGACCATGCTATTGTTTCTAGTACTACCGGACCTGAGTACTATGTAAGCATCATGAGCTTTGTTGACAAAGACTTGCTCGAGCCTGGCGCCTCCGTATTATTACACCATAAGAGCGTATCTATTGTTGGCGTACTCACGGACGATACGGACCCGGCCGTCAATGTCATGAAGCTTGACAAAGCACCGACCGAGTCTTACGCCGACATTGGTGGATTAGAGCAGCAGATCCAGGAAGTGAGAGAATCAGTCGAGCTGCCGCTCCTACATCCCGAGCTCTACGAAGAAATGGGTATCAAGCCGCCCAAGGGTGTCATTCTCTATGGTGCTCCCGGAACTGGCAAGACATTGTTGGCCAAGGCCGTCGCAAACCAAACTTCAGCTACTTTCCTCCGTATTGTCGGAAGTGAGTTAATCCAGAAGTATCTGGGTGATGGCCCCCGGTTGGTCAGGCAGCTCTTCCAGGTATGACTATGATTATATATTATGTCTTAAGACAGTGACGTTTGATGCTAATAATATCAATAGGTTGCCGCGGAGAATGCTCCATCGATTGTCTTTATTGACGAGATCGATGCCATCGGTACGAAGCGTTACGATTCCACATCAGGAGGCGAGCGTGAGGTGCAACGAACTATGTTGGAGCTACTCAACCAGCTAGATGGGTTTGATGATCGTGGCGACGTCAAGGTGATCATGGCAACCAACAAGATAGAGACTCTTGACCCTGCCCTGATCCGACCCGGACGAATTGACAGGAAGATCCTTTTCGAAAACCCCGATCAGAACACGAAACGCAAGATCTTTAACCTCCATACAAGCAAGATGAGCCTCAACGAAGACGTTGACCTTGACGAATTCATCAGTCAGAAGGACGACCTATCCGGAGCTGACATCAAAGCGATTTGCTCCGAGGCCGGTTTGATGGCTTTGCGTGAACGTCGTATGCGCGTGCAGATGGCCGACTTTAGGGCCGCAAGAGAAAGAGTCCTGCGTACAAAGCAGGAGGGAGAGCCCGAGGGCCTATACTTGTAGTCTATCACGTGTATTTTAGGGTCTTCGAGGTAAATGAGTGGCCCACGACAGACGTTCGGAGGCAGGGTTGAAATAGATGATAATCGGGGTGTAACAGAAGTTATTCACACATTCTGGTTCATCCACCACCAACAAGTGCATTTAACTTCTCCTTAATTTATGTCTACCCCCGAAGTCATGGTCCCGGTGGAGTTGATTTGTAATCGACTAACGTTGGTAGTAAAGCGGTTCTTCCCCCCGCTGTTCTCGTGATACCGATATCGTAGATGACCAGAGCCTATGGGGTTTACAGCTCGCAACTCGCAACCATGAATATGAAGTTAGAGGTTGCCTCAGGAGCTAAGATAAGGTACCGATAATTACTAACCAAATACGTGAAGGTATCAATGGCCTCCTATGATAGGTTGGTAATATCCATAACCCGGGTTCAAATGTTAGCATGCAGCTGCGCCTACCTTCGCTACTTAGATAGGTACGTCAAAAGTGGCGATGACATCAGGTACATACATATAGTTACCCCCTATAACTTAATAACATCTATCCATCCCATTGTCTATCACTTGAGCCAACAACGTCTTGACCAAATTAGATACTCATAATATTGATGTAGGTACTTACCTAAGGTAGTTATTATAATTTATCTGTGCCGCCATTATACTTCATGAGCTTTGATCAAGCAACCGGCTTTCAATGTCATGATTCGCGCTTTTATATCCAACCTCATTCCCCTTCAAAATTCCCATACATTGTCCTTCTTATCACTCAAAATCGATTTATTCCTTTCATCCTACCTAACTAGATTTAAATCCAGCATTGTGCATCTTATTAGCTGGGGACTTTACGACCTCCTTATATTAGATAGCTAACACGTTGAGCTCTGCCGCGCAGAAAACCAGTTGGACTTGTACCAGCGGAACAAATCTTCGGCGATGAGCCCAAACTCAAGTCGTTCGCCCCCCACCGGCGACCCTCCTACCTTCTACGCCGAGCTTGTCGGCGATATCCCCCAGTCATTTCCCACCCTACCCAAAAGTCCAACCCTGCAAATCCAAGACCCGCCCTCGGGGCCTCCTCCGAACCCAGCACATCTGCCCCAGCAGGATCCGGATAATAGTCCCCCGCCAAGCTATGCAGAAAATGCACCCAGCACTGGGTTTACGTCCTCTGACAACAAGGTTCCCGTCTTGCCACCCCGAGAAGACGGGGAGCTGGCCCCCCAATTCTCGTCCGCTATAGAAGCCTCGGTTCACCCCCCAACGATCGCGAGCCAGGAGGCACCCGCTCAGTCGTCTTCGAAATCGGGCTTCGGACGCACTTTCTACCAGTGGGGGATCAAAGTCGGAGCGCCGATCAATAAGCTGGCGAATATGCTCGGGTCGGAGGCCTTCTGGCCTACGAGCATGGACAAGGAATGTGATAAGGCAGCACGGATTTTGAAGAGTTTCTGCAGTTTGTTTCCCCCTTTCCCAAGTTTCATATGAAAGGGACGCAGCTGATGCATCTAATCCAGAAGACGGCTTCCAAGCCGGCCCAACACCGCAGGCGACGGGCAGTTCCAGCGGGCCGAGCGGCAAATCCAAATCCCTGGTAAAGATCCCGCAATCCGCCATCGTCAACGCTCGGGGCATCGCCGTCTTCACCACCTTCCGCACGGGCTTCCACATCTCGGGCGCGGGCGGCTCGGGGCTCGTGGTGGCGCGCCTGCCGAACGGGCAGTGGTCGCCGCCGGCCGGGTTCCTGGTGCACACGCTGGGCGCGGGGCTCATGGCGGGCCTCGACGTGTACGACTGCGTGTGCGTGCTCAACACGCAGGCCGCCGTCGACGCCTTCACGCGCCCGCGCCTCAGCCTCGGAGGCGAGGTCGCCGTCGTCGCGGGCCCCGTCGGCACGGGCGCCAGCATCGAGGCCCCTGTCGGCAAGGCCGTCCGCCCCGTCTGGAGCTACATGAAGAGCCGCGGCTTGTACGGCGGCGTGCAGGTCGACGGCACGGTCGTGGTTCAGCGGCCGGATGCCAATGCCGAGTTCTACGGCGTCAACAAGATTAGTGTGGATCTCATCCTACGGGGAGGGGTTCCTAATAATGTCGTTCCGAGCAGCAGTCACAAGGGCCTGACTTTATGGCCTGAGGGTGGCAGGCAGCTGATGGAGGTGCTGAAGTTTGCCGAGGGTAAGGGCGCTGATTATAGCGTCGTGGAGCAGCTTGGCGACCAGCCTACGCCCGGGGATCTGGCGACTACGCCGACTATGGAGCAGCAGCCGGAGCAATATCCAAATTATGGTGTTGATGTGAAGGATAAAGTGAGGTTTGCTTAAGTTTATATGGATGTTTATAGGTGTAAATGCTTTTGCGAGGAGCATAGAGTGGAATGGCTATGGGTAGAATGAATGGACGGATGATACCTACTATTTTGTCACAATTATTCTCGAGATTCGATCAGCGACCAAAGATAACATAAGTAAATAATCCGGGACGGGCTTTTCCAGTTGAGCATACCCGCATGATTGATCTTCATCTGTCAAGGTACTCTAGCGCTTTGTTAAAAATCGGGGAAAGGGGAAGTTAAAAAGAGTAAACTGTCCTTGGTGAGGCTCGAACTCACGACCTTTGGATATCCCGGTTTTGGGAAACTAGATCATATTTCTATGAACCCAGCGCTCTGGCCAGGGTATTTACTAAGCCACAAAGACAGAGCTACGGTTCCGCAGTTTTGGGGTATCCCTTCGTCCTTACCGTCGCTTCACCCCCTGATCGTGTGCGTGCCCACATTTTTGTCTCATTAAGTGCTTCAATTTTCAGGTCACAAAAGGTTAACATCCATAAACATTAACATTTTATCAACATAATTATTATATTAAGGAAAGTCTTAAAGTGGTATGTATTATACCTCGGCCTACACACATGGCCTAAACGCAGCCAGCAATTGGATGTTGACCATCATGTTGTGGCGTCGTTTGGCCCCTTAGATGGACACCCCTTTCCGAAGGTCGCCTAGGCAGAACCTGTCCTATAGTAGTTGTCTTACTCAGATACCGAGGTAGGGACTTAGGCACTCTCATCCAGGGAAGCTTTTATTCAACAAAGCGGCTCCATATTTGAAACTCTAGTCCTTGAGATTCCGACTGGATGAACGGATAACCATGACGAATGTCTTGCCGTTAAGTCCCATACACCCAAGTACTCAGCCTATTCAGCTTTGCAAGGCTCGACACCACTACATCAAATCCTCTCGTGTAATGGAGTGATTGTGAGCCTTACAGCTTGGTACACACGAAACAGAATGTTGCCACAACTACCTATTACCATATTCAATACTGCCACCAGTACGGCCGAGGAGATTTTCAGCTCGGCTATGATAATCAAGATTCAATCGTGTACTCCGGATTCCGGTTATAGTTACACGCAAATCGCTTGTCTGAATCTAGCTAACCGCAATATACATATAGGGGTACTAATCATGATAGAATGGCTGATTTTTATTTCGTAGTCCTCGATCAATCTTACTCCAGTCTGTAGACATTGCCTACCTAAGTACGTTTCTAGGCATCTTAGGCAGCTGAATAGGTACGCAAGTTGATCGGAAATCAAAGACATTGGGGCTATGGATAACGGCGGATGCTTGGATTACACTGCATATCGCTCCGAAGCAATCATTACGCGTCTAGGCCATGTACCTAGGTAGGACGAACATGTCTCGGTTACCTAACCCTTCACACGAGGTTATTTGTAGAAACAGGTACCGCAAAGAAGTCCTACTCTCCTTTCCATTCAAGGTATTATACGGCCCAATTGTTCACTATTTCGAGTCTCATTATACAGAATGTCCAAGATGGAGATTTGTATCCAATTCGGTCTTATCAGAGACCCTCATATTCTCCCTCGAAATGGAACAAGCTGACTCTGTTCAGAGAGAATCTGCGGAAACAAAATGCCTATTAGCCAACGACCTTGAGCAGCTCTTTCGAAATATCGACTCAACCCCTTCGTCATCACTCACTTGCTTGAATGATAAGCTCATCTCCGATCTCAGTGGGACGTCTGGAACTGATGCCGAAGAATCACGGTCCCCGTTCCGAGTAGAAACCGTTGCAAAAACGGAGACCCTCTCAGGTTGGTTTCCAAAGATAAATGATACCGCGGAAAACAGTTGGCGCATTAGATGGAGTCAGAGGAACCGGGCCCTTTTGATACAGATCGCTTTAGTTGTTATTATTCTCACAACAAATCTCACTCTTACAATTTACACCAGATTGCGGTACCCGAGCAAGAAAGGGATCGGTCTTATATATCAAGGAGATTGCGATACCATAGGCAAACTTGACCAATGGATTCATCTTCTAATCAATGTCTTGAGTACTGGGATACTTTCGGCTTCTAATTACTGCATCCAACTCCAGGCGTCTCCCACTCGCGATGATATCGATCGCGCACATCGCGAACACAAATGGCTAGACATTGGCGTCCCCAGCTTAAGGAACTTCGGATACATCGGGAAATGGCGTCGTCTCTGCTGGATCCTTTTAGCTTTTTGTGCACTGCCATTCCATCTCATGTAAGAAATATTATTATAACAAGTCGGTCGCAATATCACTAATCGACAATGGGTCTAGGTACAACTCGGCTGTATTCCAGTCATTGGCATCGAACGACTATACAATAACTGTAGTCAAAGATTCCTTTATTGATGGTGACTCGTGGAACCTCACCATAGCAGAGCGCAATAGGAAAGGGGATTTCGCTTGGGATGAGAGCAGGGTGAACCCCCCAAGAGATTACCACGAGATCATATCAGGTATCCAACGGGATACAATGAAAGGCTTGTATAACCTTCAAAATACTTCCGATTGTTTCTCCTTTTACAATGATTACTGGTCGCCCCAAGGGAATGGTGTGGTATTCGTCAAAAATGAAACCAGCCCACCTGAAGACGGCAGTCTCCTCATGTATGTCGGCATCATCCCAAGGTGGGATAATTGGCCGAAAAATATGTGGGCTATATCGAATGGCACAGGCACTACTCAGTTCACAGCGACTTCGCCTCCGCAGCCAGTGACCAAATGGTTGCTCGGACCGCCGCGATATGAGGTGGCTCACTGTCTTGTTCAACCACCCGATACAACCACAGATCGCTGTCGATTTCAGTATTCGACATACATCCTGTACACTGTCTGTGTTTTCAACTTTGCCATAGCTCTACTGATGTTTTGGGTTTGGAGAATGAGAAAACGAAACAAAAGATGCACCAAAGTCGCGATCGAGGAGCGAGGCGGAAGCCATGTTCCAAGTAACAAGGACGTCGTTTTATCCACGCTTGGGGATGCAATAGCTTCTTTTATGAGAGACCCGGATGAGACGACATCGAATATGTGTCTAGCAACGAAGGACGACTTCTGTCAAAAACAGGCCACGGGTGGATCTGCCACGGAACGATGGGAGGCAACTCATCGTCCGCGCACGTGGAAATCTACACCCAAACGGTGGATCTTTGCAGCTAGTTGGAAGCAGTGGTTTGGCCTCCTATTTATGTATTTTCTTGTCTTGCCCCCTTTTATGACCAGACTTGTCGATTTTAGTTTTCTGATAGATATCTAGGCATTCGGTTGCGTTCCTCGTGATAGGTGTTGCCATATGGCGAGTTATAAATTCTTTCGATATCCGGGCCATGCCTGTTAGTGCCAAAGATATCTTCGCTCTTGGGTTCGGCACCTTGACGCCACTTACTTACGTGGTTGCCAATCTTCCTAGAGAGGATCCTATCGGGCTTCTTTCTAACGTGTTTCTCGTAAACTCGCCACAGATTCTATTCTCCATGGTCTATCTGTTCTATAACGCGATAATGAGCACTTTCCTCATACAACGAGAGTTCAGCCTCATGTACTCCGGCAAGAAGAGGAAGCCGCTGCGCGTTTCCGAGCCCGTCGGCATCCAGCGTTCGAGCTATTTCATCACCGTTCCCTTCCGCTATGGTATCCCTCTTATGGCGATGTCCATGTTGACACACTGGCTCATCTCCCAAAGCTTCTTTTTAGCTCGTGTCACAGCTTTGACCCCTGAAGGCCTGGTAGACGATGATCACACGTTCTCGACGTGTGCCTTCAGCCCAAGCCCGATTATCATTTGTTCGTTATGTCTCGTTCCATACTTCATCCGTTATCCATGCTAACGCAACGCTTCCTAGTGTTAGTTGTAATCTTCATTCAAACGGTAATCCTTGTCCTACTTGGGTGTCGCAAATATGACGGCACTATGAGGATGGTCTGCACGAATAGTATGGCGATAAGTGCCGCATGTCATAGTCTAGAAGAGGACCGGGAATATGGCTATCAGCTCCCAGTTCAATGGGGTGTTGTGAGCGTCGGGGACGATGGTGTCGGACATTGCACTTTCACGACGGCCCCGATCCATCTCATTCGTCAGCCCCAGGAGGGGATGACTTACCGGTAACATTGATGTGTATGGTCATGTCATCCACGTCGAGGACGATATGTAAATGAGTAGACGTTAGAGCAGCTATCTGAAGATAGAACATCCAATAGAGTTACGAGTTTACTAGTTAGAGAATTATATGTCTAATTAGCTGAGTGAGAATAGGGGCTGACAATACAACATGTGGTTAATTACCCCTAAGACATGCAAGTAATGGGGTTTGAATGCCCTGTATAACGATAACATGATTCTGTATGGTGTATTATGTAATCAACTGTCAAGGTGAGCTCTAGGTACTAATCTCCCTGCTTTATCTTGAGCTTTTACGCTTAAGAAATACAACATCACGTACTGTCTTACAATACGTCTGTATTTGATCAACGATGCCAATGAATTGTATGTACATACTTACCTACTAAGGTAATATGTATCGTTCGATGCGTTCTACTAAACTAACTAGCTCGAAATGTTTCTCCGTATTTCGGAGATGCACTGTATTGCGCGCCGAGTCCAATCTTCTAAATTATGGCTTTAGCCGCTCTCTGCACAATCCTTCTTCTTTTCAAGGTCACAAAAGTACCTATCAACACGTCAGAAGACGTCAAGCTTCTAGCCGCCCCTCGATTATGGATGCGGACATGACTTTTGTAGAGTCTTCCAAAATGAAGCCGATTAATCTCTTGATGGGTCGGCCAACACCTCGTCTGCAAGCAGCAGATAAGCTAGCGGCAGCATCCCAAGCAATCTTGCTTCAGCCCGAGAAATCCGACACGGCATTGACGTACGGGACTGACCATGGCGATGATGGCATTCGCCAACATATCGCTACTTGGCTCAGCCAGAAATATCGCCCTACATCCGGCCCCGTCACTCAAGACCGTATTATCATTTCCAATGGTGCCGCTGGAGAGCTTTGCGCAATTCTACACAAGTTCACCGATCCCTTGTACACGCGTCGCATGTTTCTTGTAGAGCCTACGTACTTTCTTGCCATCCAGTCGTTTCTGGACGCGGGCTTCGGTGAGAAAATACAAGGCGTCCCTGAAGACGACGAGGGTATCGACCTTGAGTTTTTGCGACGCCAGCTAGAGGAAGAAGAAAGCAGACATGCAGATAGCACTCAAGACATTAGTGCATCTACTACTAAGCCTGCACACCTTGGGTACAGAAAGCTTTACAAATATGGCTTATACGTCGTTCCGACTCTTTCGAATCCTAGTGGTAAAACTATGTCTCTGCACCACCGCGAAGCCTTGATCAAGCT